ATCTTAACTTGATTCTTGGAACAAAATTTACTTGACAGCTGTGGTAATAGGAGATCGAGTTTTGTACTCAAACGTGGAAAATGTTAGGAATCAATCTCTCTGGGACACACAAAATCCCCATTTATGATTGCATATTGATTCCCTTAGCCACAATGCGAGACTTGCGAGCTCTCTCAGTAAACTTTCCACCCTATCCTTCTCTTGACCAGGTCCATATCTATAATCTACAGCAGCCTCAGTTAAATTTTACAAGCCTTTTCTTTTCGGCGTAAAGTATATTTTAAAAATCACTACTATTTATTTCACCTTTTCTTTTCACGTTGTGCCATTCAAAAATTGTATAGTATAGTTGGCCGTGGATCCATTGGCTTTTTCAAGTGAAAGTAATCTTATGTTTTCTCGATTATAGAATAACAAGGAAGAATTCGCCCCACTGTTTATCCCAATGGTCCTTGTTCTTTGGGAGTCTTTGATGAGCAAAAAAAATAGAGGATTGAGTTTATACTAAAGGAATGTGGATGTTCATAGCTTTTTTTATCTTCAGCATTTCAATCAAAGCTCTATAGAACCGTTGATCAAGCCAAAATTCAGTCTATTAAATGAATTTTAGCAAGTTGTTTTATGCCATACATCATCATCGACAAGCTTTGTATGTCTGTCTTATAAAGACGTGTCAAAGATCTGCACTCAATCTGCTGAAGCATATTTTAAAATATCGCACATAAACTATAATTTAGCGTATATGTATTTTTTATTGTTTTGATAAGATATCTTTAAAAATCGATGTTTCTGTTATTTCTTTATAAAATGCGGTTGTTTGGTACTCAAAAGCAATTATTTTTTCCAGCTGCAGATCATCATTCATCGGTGAAAGGGAACACTGATTTCCATCCTAGTTATATATCTTTATTGACTGGACGGAGATGAACCAAAAGAAAAGTTTTAGCGCTTGCAGTAGCGGTGTGACAGGTTAAAGTTTTATTTTATAAATTATAGTTTTTTTATAATAATTTTTTAAATATAAATTCTTTTAAAATTATAATTAAAACAAAAGACAACTGCTATACCTTAACACATTGACGAGCAGACACACCCTCATGAATATATATATTTCAAGGCAACAACTGGGGGCGCGCTCCACTGTTAATTTCGGGGAGAAGCATGTAAGAAGCCAAAACACGTTTCTGTGTGTGGGCTATAGAAGAAAAGCTAAACTGATGGTGGGCCCATTCCGGATCCGTGACCCGCTGATTTTTCAAAAGCCCCACAGCAAAAGCAGCCCTCCAGGTCCCTGTTCGGTCAACGGTCACATCATGGACACGCAAGGGTGAGTCGTCTGATCAAGCGGCCGAAAATAAATATTACACAAAGTGGAACTCTTCTATTGCACAGCGCTATTTGGAAACGTGATCCCAACAGCGTTATCGCGTTGGGTGGGTCCCAATTGGGAGTCGTTATTTTATGGGATGAGTGGCGTGATCTTGGATTGGGATGGGTAGGAGGTGGAGGCTCGAGCAATTATTGAAGGGAGGGCCCCCTCCCTCGAGTTCCTCAGCTCCGAGGACATGGGCGTGGTATCCAGATACCACGCTCCAACAATGGAGTTTCTGGGATTGAATTTTGCGACATGCTCGGTTTTTGGGATCTTGGACCACTTTCTCTGCGACTAATACATTGCATTTTGGACTGTGTAATCACTTATCACTAACAGTTTGACCATCTTTAATTTTAGGTGATATCATTTCGGAAAATCTTATCTCCCTTTTCCTCTGAGGTCCCTCCCCCCCAGGCCCTTGATAATGATATTACCAAGGCCATGCCCATTGTTTGGTGATTAGAAAGCAATTATTTTAGGATACAGAAGGCATTTATTTATTACCACCGAAAAAAAAACTAAGAATTAAATGTGTCTTCAAATACTTAACATTTTCACTGTAATACTGTATTTATTATTTTATCATTTCAACAAAAAATTAATTAACTTGCTATTAAGGGTTATGTGGGTTTTTTTTTGGTATAAGGGCCATTAGTGATATTTATTGAGGATAATTTGGTGTTTTTTTCTTTTAAATATATATAGTATAATATTACTCTTAAGATTAAATTTTTAAAAAAATTGACGGAAGAATTCAATATTTTTATCTTTTACATGTGTGGTGTAAGGATTATATTACCTTTACAAATAAAGTTTTTTAAAAGGCTAACAAGAGCAATTTTATCTTTTATATTTAAAAACACAGTGAAAGGATTATATCATCTTAAAAACGTATCTTGTCATCTTGCATTTAGGATATTTTTTATATTTTCAAACTAGTTTTTAGTTATTATCAAGTCTAGTAAGGAGCAATTTGGTATTTTGACAAATATAAATATTTTTATTTTACAAAATTCTTGATGTATGTAGCGTTATCCCATATCCAAATACTGTCCTTAAGGGCAATGTTAAAAGGGTTTTATTATGATCTTTTTGTTGGTACCGTGCTTGTACACAACAGGATAATGGTTAGATTCTAATAAATTTCTCTCTTTCTCTCTCCACTTTTTCAAAATATAAAGGTGTTCTTTTATTAATTTTTTTTTAATTTCATCTATTATTATTTGGTTTCATTTATTTATTTTTTATATGAAACTTGGTTTCTATTTTTTTTGTTTGTTTATATTTTTATTTTCCTGATTGAACTTTTTTTTTAGTCTCATCACTTAATATTTGATTTTAAGTTATTTATATGTCCAATTTAGTCCGTAATAATTTTATTGATATTTCTTTTTTGTTTGGATCCTTTTTAATTGTATATTTTATTTAATTCCATCCCTTAATTTTGTTGTGCTTTTTTTAGGGTTTATCTTCTATAGAGTTGGTCACATGTTGATTTTAGTTATTTTTTGGGTTCTTTTTTCAAATTGATTTTTTAAAAAATTTCTTTCTTTAATATTTAATTTATTATAAATTAGTCTTTTTACTCTCTTTTATTTTTTCACTTTTATTTATATAGGGTTATGCAAATGTCATGCCTAGGGTTACAGGGTTAACCTGATTTTACTTATATTTTTTTTGTAATCTTTTATTTTAATATTAAATTATTTGATAATCAAGCTTTATAGTTTTTCTATGTTGTTAATTCTTTTTGTCGGTTTGTTTATTGTTGTTGCTTTTTTTATTCATATTATTTCAAATAGTTGAGCTTATTAAATACATTCGAGTCAATGATTCGACTTTTAGATTTCTTTTTATTTTTTTAGAAATACTTGCATCATCTTAGTTTTTTTTTTACATTGAAAAAAATTAAGTCGACCTACAACATGAACGAGCTCTATTTGGTTTGAAACTATGGTCCATGACATGGAAAACGCACACCCCAAAATGAAACCATTATTTTCCAAGATATATTGCCTTAATTTTTTTTAACAAAATGTGAAATTCTAGGAAAGTTGGTTATGTTTCAAAATCCAAGATATATAAATAACATGTTATTTAGTATTTGAGATAATAATTAATCAATATGTTCATGAACTTGGATTTCTTCTCTTTGGTCTTACGAAATCCATGCATGTAGTAAAAGTTTAAGTACTTAAAAAAACAGTTCCAATTGATGAAACTTAAAGACCCACCAATGTTAAAGTTAGTATAAATGAGAAATGCAATAAATATCTTAAGACAACAAATGACTTGAACGAGCCTTAAATTCAAGGAATAAAGATATTTTTTCTTGAGTTTTAAGTGTGTTATACTCTAAAATCCATAAAAGTTTATCTTACAAGATAAAAAAAATTATGAATCCTTACTTGGCTGATTTAAGGGATATATATACATTTTTGAACCTTGTTATTTTTATAAAAGGGAAGGATTGAAAAGTTCTTTGCTTTCGACAACATTAACGAGACACGAAATAACCCTTATATATATTAATGAGGTAGTAAGTAAGGTAGGTCTCTTATGAAATCCTGTGTACACATATGAGTAAAAAAAAATCATTACATCAATATAAATGATTATTATAGATGGGGAAAAATGACAATTTATCATGTCTTCAGTATTTTTATTTTAAGAGATTGTCTAGAATCAAGCACATAGTTTTACAGTTTGGTAATAGTTGAATCGAAATGCCTAGGTTTAGCATATTTGTCAGATCCATGTTTTCTTGGGTCTGTTAATCAGTCAAATCAAAATTTTTTGGGTCTAGCATGTTTGCAAAACCCATGCTTGCTGCATTCGGCATGGCTGACCATTAAGCTCAAGTTTTTTGAACCTTTCATATTTATTAGACTCATGTTTTTTTGGGTTTGGCTAATTGTCAAACCTAAGTTTTTTTTGTTTCATATATTTGTAAGATGCACGTTACCTTCATCTTGGCTAACTGTCAAATTTAAGTTTTTTGGATTTATCATATTCTAGATTCATGTTATCTTAGACTTGATTAATTGTCAAATTCAATTATTTGAGTTTGATATATTTACAAACTTATGTTATTTTAAGCTTGGTATAGTTAATTTTCTTTCTATAAATAAAAATTTTACCCAAATATTTTGACTCATCATAAATTTTATATAAACGACACCTTTGAAAATACTAGCTGAAGTTTTTACTTATAATTATTGAGTCGACAAAAAATGTCACTGGATAAATCCTAATAGAATCTACCCAATTTAATTATTTTTTCAAGTTATTTTACATAAGATGAATCATTCTGCATTCGACACCATGCTTTTCCACGAGTTCATAAGAAGTTATGTAATCTCGATGTAGTAATAAAGCTCAAAAGTCTACATGGACCTTTAAGAAGAAAACAGAGAGCGTGCATTGGAGGAGTGATATTAGCTCAGCAAAACTAAAAACTTAAACCAACATTAGACTCGCGTACATCCCATACCGAGCCTAAAATATCCAAACCTGCAAGTAGAAGAAAGGACCATGGGCTTTAAAGTTCTTTCTCTCTAATCGGATACTGGGCTTCAAGCCCACATTCACAATTGTCACTCACTATATTCGTTTCTTCTCACACACAGCTGCGCTGAAAGACCACATCAAGACGCCTATGGCCACCGATATCCCTGTCATTTCCTCCGATACCTCGTCACTGATTCAACCCGATTTCTCCATCTCTTCTCGTATTCTCTTCTCTCTCACTGAACCAGGTCAGTTCAAACAAAAAAAAATCATCATCTGGTTGTAAGATTTTATTGCAGTTTTTTTTTTAAAAAAAATTGTGTATTCTTATAGTGAAATTTGAACTGATGTTCGATTAATATGCATCTAATCACTTGTTTCTGTATATTAATATAGAAGTGTGAGGCAAAATGAAGCAGCATTAATCTTTTTTTAGTTAGTAATTAAAACCCTAGGGTTCTGGTTCCGATTGTCGTTGTTTTTATGTGTCTGATTCTAGCTCAATAGCCAATAATAATAAATGTTAATTAGTGATTATTATCTGATCTAATTGAATGGATCAGGCTATTGAGGTGACATGAGTGATTCAATTGATTTATCCGGTGATGGAGGTGTTGTCAAGACAATCTTGAGGAAAGCGAAAGCTGATGCGCTTTGTCCTTCGGATGATCTTCCTCTTGTTGATGGTATGGTATGCTCTTGTTTCTAGTTAGTGATTTTAACTAACTTGTTTTTGGTTTACCAAATAAAATATGAATTCTTGTTTTGAACAGTTCAATACGAGGGCACACTTGCTGAAACCGGTGAAGTTTTTGATACGACACGCATGGATAATACTGTGTTCTCATTTGAACTTGGGAAGGGCTCGGTGATTCAGGCATGGGAGATTGCAGTGAAAACCATGAAGGTCAAAACTTGCTTTCTCAATGCAAGCTTTGTACTTCGTTTTAAGATTTTTATCTCTTGTACAGTAACATGTATATTTTTGGTTTTACCAGGTTGGGGAGGTTGCAAAAATTACTTGCAAACCAGAATTTGCTTATGGCAGTGCAGGTTCTCCGCCAGATATCCCACCTGGGTATGTCAATGCAGACTCATTTTTCAATTTGTTGTTTAGAATTACTTATCAGATACGGAGACTTGTTTGAATTAGGAACATTTGTGCTCAAAATCAATGGCCTAGGAAAGATCTACTGGAGATGAAATAAATGTGATTGGAGTTTTTTTGTCTCCAAAAGCGTTTCCTAAATATGATTGGTATTTTTACTAGAATCACCTACTGCCACTGCTACTGCCACCACCATTCTCACCCCAGCTCGTTGAGCATCCTCGTTGGAATCCTTATTGGCCGCCACCATTATTTTCAACACGGGCTGCTCGAATATCCTCCTTGGCACCGCACCCTCATCAGCAACCTATTCAAAGTATTAATAAAACCTGCACGTGTGCACAATCAACGAGGTAGTCGTAGACTGGTGTTTAAACACTTAACAGGAAGCCCATCCTTAATTTTTCCCCGTATAGGCTCAGACCTCCCTTTCAGACAGCCTTTCAAATCTCCAACAAGATTTAAACCTTGGTGGATGGCAGTTGAACTGAATGTTTTTCGAAACCAGTAATCCAATTCTCCTAGTGGATGGTTCTGAGTGTAGTCTTGGATCTTCCATCTTGGATATCTGATTCTAGTTTTCTGATATATTAACAAAGGATGTATACCTACCTATTCTTTTGATGTTATAATGAAAAAAATAACTCATGAATCATGCATATAACATTTGAGGTGACCGTTTCGATGAAACTAGTCATGCAATTTTGTGACAGAAACAAGATATGAATTTGTGGGTCCAACTACAGAGGTAGACTGTATGTTGGTCCAACTACCATTAGAGATATGCAAGAACCTTGTGCAATTTTATTATAAACTTTGCAAATCAGTTACTTTGGTGGATCAAAGATCTAAATTTTTTGAATTGAAAATGGAGCTTGTATGGCTAGAATAATCCAATGTGCCAGTTTGTGCACGCTCTTGGTAATTGTCTTCGCACTATCATAAAAGCGGAGGTCTGGATCTACCTTCATTAAATATTTGTATACTTTAAACAGCGCAACTCTAATTTTTGAGGTGGAGTTAGTGGCCTGCAAGCCACGGAAGGGTTCCAGCGTGACCAGTGTTTCAGAAGAGAGGGCCAGGCTCGAGTAAGTTACACTCCTGGACACAAATATAGATCACTCTCTCAATTTTGGATTTTTTTTTTTTGGAATTTTCCTCACTGACAACAAAGTGGCCTCATGACATTCTTTAATGTTGAATCAGGGAGCTGAAGAAGCAGAGGGAGCTTGCTGCTGCAGCTAAAGAGGAAGAGAAGAAGAGGAGAGAAGAAGCTAAAGCCGCTGCAGCAGCCCGAATACAAGCCAAGCTGGAATCGAAGAAAGGTCAAGGGAAGGGGAAGGGAAAGGCAAAATAGGGCTATGTCGCTGTTAACTTCATGAAGAACGAATGTTCGATAAATGATAAGACATATGCAGGGAACATTTGTTGTGTGCTTATTGACTTTACCATATTATGATATGAAGGACCTTTAAATTATAAGCTGTTAATACCTTAGCTTTTCAGTTATGGCTTAGTCAAGATTAAGATGGTGCGGGCCCTGGTGGTGCTCATGCCTCTGATATAAAGTCCTAGACCGTTCTCACCTGGGATGGTGAACTGGGTTATCTTCTTGGATTGGGCAAAGAGCTAGAAAGGCCGAGCCTGCTAGTGTCCCCTCCTTGCTCAGAACAGATGGCCAACGCATCATGCCCGAGCTTTAAAAAGGAATCAATCTATTACTTAAGACACAGGCTTTAATTTGCATCTTTTGACCCTGAAGGAAGATTTTACCATATAGTACTTCTTAGATACCACATTGCTCGGTTAACACCGTAATACAATATAATTACCTTTCTGAGCTGCTGAAATACTGTGATATAACTTGTATTTATGTCATTGGTTATACAGGAACCTCCGTTTTTATAATGTTAAATCAAGTGTTACAACAATTGCTAAGCCACCCTCAATTAGTCCTTCCATGTTCATCAATGAGCTTATAAATGCTGTGTATTTAGTATATAAATCTATCAAAACTATATGCCAGTGCTCATAACTAAACCATGTATGAAGCATCCAATCCACCTTGTCCATTTTCATTCCACCCGGATCCTGCCCCAAATTTACAGACTGGGCATGTTCCCTGTTGCCGTAGCCATGGATCAATGCAATTCGCATGGAACTGCAAAATGAAGATATTTTCTGGCATGAGGTCTCAAAACTTGTACTGGTAAAACACAAAGCCATTGAAGATTACTGTTTTGCATATGCATAAAATTCATCTGTTTAATCAATAAAATTCGGGATTATTTCACCCAAAGAGGGAGATAATTAGAGTTAGGGGAAAGAAAAAGGAAAAGGGGAACTGAAATAACTGCAACATAACAGATGCAGAGAAATTGCTTCAACAAGTCACTACTTAGTATGGGCAAAATTTGAACCGAGTTTCTGACTGCCCAAGGAAGCAAGTCAGTGACCAAATGGCATAAAAGAATGCACAGCTGTCTATGTTTTAAGCACTTAAATGAGGGACCCTCTGTGAAGTTAATGAGACCAAGTGGTCAGTGCAGATTAATAAAATAAAAGGGTGCAGCAAAGTTAAATAACTACGAGAAGAGTCTGAACCTGATGTAAACATGGCAAGGTGCGGATCACTTCCCCCACACTAGCTTGCTCTAAGCACACACTGCAAGTCAGCTCATCATCTGAAGACTTCATGCTCCCAATAGCATTACCTGTATCTTGCTTCTTTTTCTACAGAGAAGAATAAAAGAATGGCTGATTAACCACGCTGATGCGAGCCAAAATGAAATTGAAAAATAGAGAGCTCCATTGCTGTAAAAAAAATAAAAATCATTATGCCTGATGTACTAAAAAGTTGTCAGCAGGTGCAGAAATACTTAAGCTGTCTCGAGTTGCAGATGCAGTATTATGTTACTGTGTTCAGTATGCACGCCCAGTTGCATTTGTAGCATCATCTACTGTGTCCAGTAGGCACACCCCATTGCATGTGTAGCATTATAAACTGTGTTTGGCATGCATACCACTCCCACATATAGAATTGTATGTGCCTGACATGGCTGATCATGCAAAGATCCCCAAAAGTTGATTGTTTGAAACTTAGGAGATGCCCATTTGACAAGAAACGATCATTTGAAGCCAGTTCTAGACCATTAAAAGAGACAATTATTTGAAGCCAGTTCTAGACCATTAACGATGGTAAACTAATTATCTATCCCCCACACTTCTATACCACTAAGTAAGAAGCTTCACAGCACTGACTTTTACAGGGATACAGCCAGTGAATGTGCATTGATAGACCAGATCGAAAGCAGTTGAATTGTTAAATGACAAGGCAGCAGATTGCGAACCACATTTGCATGTCTCAATGTGTACAACATAAATTTTAATGAACCTGCAGTTTTGGCATACCTAGACCAAAAAAAAGGAAAAGAAGTAACTGACATGAAACAAAGGCTTGTACCTCAGCTGAGACAGAAGAAGAGGCTTGTTGCATTGAGGAGCCACCACTGTCAACAAGAAACAGCTTGTTGTCAAGACATCAAAACACAAAAAAATATGCAGAGGGAACAAAAATATGTATGATAAGCTATACATATGTTGCTGATTCAGACTGGTTTTGTTTCTTTTCAAAAAGAAAAACTACATTCTTCTAAAAATCATCTTATGTGTTTGATTATTTTTCACTTTGCTAAAACCATAGTTTTGAAACCCGGCCCGGCCCGGCAAGTCGACCCGGGGCTGGAACCGGGCCGGGTTGATGAAAAAATAGAATAAACCATGACCCGGCGTGACCCGGCCGACCCAGCGGGTTGACCTGGAAACCCGGACGACCTGGCAAAACCCGGTTGAAACTCGTTGCCTTTTGTTTTACTAAAAGGACGCCATTTTGAATTTTTTTAAAATAGAAATTGACCCGGCCGACCCGGTCAAAACCCGGAACCCGGGCCTTGGACCGGCCCGGGTTTAAAAACTATGGCTAAAACAGCTATCAATGACCTGATGTCAGGGAATGTTGGAAGAGGTGGGAAAGTGAGGAGGCTCTACCTTCTCTGGATTTGGAGTGTTGTTCATTCATTCAGACTGGTTTTTAAGATATTCAAGTTCTCATAATCAACAAAGAAATCTGAAAAGGTCATTGGGAGCTCCAAAATTTTGTTAACTGCTCCAGCCTGACAAGCAAACTGTTTATATGGAAACAAAATTGACACAATATGCAATCCCTAAGCATGGCATGCTTGCAGACACCCACAACCCAAAGGCCAAATGCCTAAGCAAACTCCTATGTCTCTATAATGCCATTCATATATTTTTCGAGCAACATTCACATAAAAGCACTTCTAAAATACACAAGTCAAACAAAACATTAACACTTACTTTTGAGGACCAGTGACCTTGTACTTGTGAACTGGAAGGGCATTTATCTCTTCCTCGCTCATTGAAGTGCCATTGGAAACGTTATCACCATCCAGTGCTCTCAAAGTGTCATAATCTGCATGCAAACAACAACGCCTACATGAACTATCCTTTTCAGAAAACAAACGAAATTAACAAGGAAAGAACAAAAGTAAAATGAAAACTAAACAGCATGTTTCATCTTTCAAAAAAATTGACTCGTAACACATAATTGTCCCCTTCCATGCACAATACAACCACAAACACAGACCTAGGTCATCAAACTCTCGATCAAGAAGTGCAAGCTGAAGCCTGAGTCCTTGCAAACGCCCTCTGGTAGCAAGGGCTATGGATGGCGGCATATGCAACCGCAACTCAGTATGACCAAGAAGACCACTTGCCATCACAGCATGGGCTTGCGCCTGAGCTTGGAGTTGTTGACACGTTGCGTACATCCTCAAAGTCGTCGCCATAAAAAACACACCAAGCACTAGCCACAGCTAAATCTCAAAAAAAAAGAAAAAAGCATAAATTAGTTAGCACAAACATCTCTAAAACTCATCATTATCATTAGAAATTTACTAGATTCCGTATTCAGTTAAAAAAGAAGAAAAAAAATACCAGGAAATTAGGTGACATTTGGTGCGAGTTCAAAATCATGAATAGCAGGAGAACTGCCAACAAAACCAATAGCAAATAAATAAAACAAAAGGCAGCAAGAATAATCTGAAAGAAAGAAACGATTAAACTATAAGACGGATTTATTATTGTTGTTATTATATTATTATTGATGATGATGATGATGAAATTCAAGTTACCTGTGACAAGAAAAACAAGTGAATTGGAATTGACAGGCCGAGTTGCGTGAACACGCTGATTATTGTTATTAGAAAAAAACACAACAAAGTATTATATAATCAACAAGAAACAAGAATAAAGAAAGAATTGACATTAATAATAAGATTACCAGTGCACGTCGTTCAGGAACAAAACTAGGGAAGCCATTTTCGGTATCAGATCGAGTTCCTCGGAAAACAAAACTCATTCTTCTTTTCGTTCCTTCTATCTTGATAATAATTATATCATCAATGTATTTCTTTTAATAGCAGCAACAATAGCAACAGCACCAGCTTCTCCACTCAGCTTCGATTCCGTCAATCTGCAATTAGTTCGTGATTTAGGGTTTCAATTTTCAAACACCTAACTCAAGCAATGAAATGAGATGTACTTACAGAGGATGATCATGATGGATATGATGCGATCCAAGGGATTAAACAATGAATTTGTTGGTTGGTTTTAGGCCTTTCCTTCTGTTTGGTTGCCTAAAACCAACGCTTTCATTTCAACCTTTGTCGACTCCTCGAAGCCAATACTCGGTTCCTTTCGTTTTGTGACCATTGCGTCCGTTATTATTTGTTAGTGACGATGGTCTAAGCGACGTCGGTTTTGTGCTTTTTATTCACCACACGAAAATGCTTACCGTGTTCTCTCTTTCTTGGGATCCTTGGGCTGGGCTGGTATGGGCTGGTATGGGCTGGGCTAGGCTGGATGAGTATTTCGATTTTCTTTGGATTTTCTTATGAAACGGTCTCATTTTTTTAATATATCTAATTCATCTCTCTTGTAAAGCATATTATAAATTCAAATGAAATTACTATTGTGAGAGAAGTAGATACGATTTGGTCTTTGTAATCCCGGTTTCAGGAATCAAGCTTTTGGACCGTTACTATGCAGGGGTGCTCTCAACTTTTTTCTGAGAATTGCTTCAATTAACGATGATAAAATAATATGACATTTGACTTTTTAATTTTAAAAATATTCCATCGAATTTAAAAAAAAAACTGCATGTAGCCTTTTTAATAAACACCGAGTGTAATTATAAAAGCTATATGAAATTTTATCCCGGCATTAAAACATATTAAATCCAATTAACCACTTAAAAAAATAAAAGTTTACATCAACGTGAAGAAAAATTCTGTTCTCGTAAAAAAATATATTTTTAGTTCATGGTAGTTAACCGTTGCAGTAATTAAATAATTTTGAGTTTCAAAATTATCATTTAATCATATTATAAATTCAACAATTGAAGATAGTGATAAGACTACTATTTAAATTTAAAATATTTATATCTGTTAGTTATTACAACATTGAACTGCCACCAAACTTATTTATTTTTCTTGTTCATTAAATACAATACGTGTGCAGATGAAGAGTGTGTGAGTGTGAGCTGGATTTCATGTTTAACTTGAAGAATTATATGAGATATTCTAACTAATAATTTTTTAAAGTATTTTTTACTTGAAAATATATTAAAATTATTTATTTATTTATTTATTAAAGTGTATTTTAAACATAAATACATTAAAAAATTAAAATAAAAAAAGATTTTCATAAAATTCCAGTTTCACTGCTGGGAGGCATATTTGAACCTACCTGGCTTTAAAGAGCGAGATAGACAGGAACTCAATTACCTGCAACAGTGACACACGCATGTGCATGTGCAATTGAGCTAACTTCTATGTTAGGTATTATACCTATAATATGTATCATGTATGAGTATTTTTTTTAGTGAGTGTTTGTTTTTATATTTAAATTTATTTTTAAAATATTTTTATTTTTAAAATATTAAATTAATTTATTGGATGTTTTTAAATGGTTTTAATATGAAAAAAATAAAAAAATTATTTTGATTAAAAACACTTTTATAAAATATCATTAATTATAATACTAAACACCCATAATTGCATGGACGGTACAGGCCCTTTGGAAGGCTTTTTGCCAAGCTATCACTAGCTATATCCAATCCCACGTCATCTTAATACATAACTTACTCCCTTCAGCTATCACTATGCTTTTTATTTGCTACCCTCCCTGATTTAGATTTCTCTAATCAGATCAAAATGGATTTGGCTTCTAATTTATTGCATATAGAACTACAAAGATAAGATAAGATTCGCAAAGGACAGTCATGTAAATATTACTTCAAGCAAGAATATTATTTTTTTCAAAGGAGATTTTTCTACAGGCAGACTGTACAGTGTTGAGTGACTACACATATACAAGTGGATCACATATGGCGGCTGACACTGCCAGCCTAACTCTCAGAAAGTTCAGAAATCCGTATTCAGAAAAACTAATAGCCCGTTTATTTAAAAAAATATATAATTTTTTTATTTTAAAATATTTTTTTATTTTTTCAAATCACTTTAATATTTTAACATCAAAAATAATTTTTTTAAACTAAAAAAAATATCATTTTAAAATAAAACACTCAATACCAAATTTTCACTCGATTCCAGGAACCGGAAGTCAGGAACCACAGACGAGGCTTAAAACATCTATGATTACAAGCCGTCCATTTGCATCAAAAGACAAGAGAGTACCTTAACACGAGAACCGCTGGCTGGACAGAGACATGGAGATTGATGAAATTTCACAATCAAATGGCTCTCCAGAACAGCCGAGAGGGCAACTTTTGGACACCATTGCTAGTTGTAAAGTGGAGAACAGAGCAAAACGTGTTGGCATGGCACCCACAAGCCAACTGCCCACAGTATTAAACCAAATTAATCATATTTCATTGGTTATTTTTATTTTTATTATAATAATAGTTGTTTTTTAAAATATTATTTTTATTTTTAAAATTTATATACGACATTATATATCAAAATTATACGAAAGTATTAAAAAAATTAATTGAAAATAAAAACTTTAATTTTTTTAAAAATTATTTTTGAAACAAGAAGACAAAACCAGTCAGTAACCTGACACAAACCTAACCAAATTCAACAGAGATTCAGAGAATAACAAATATGAAAGCAATGGAAGTGAGTTGAATAATGTCATGTACGATACAAAAATATATTACTGAGCATTGCATTTGATGCTCCAAAATCCTAAATTTTCTTCACGCACAGACACTGTCCCAGAAATATATTACTGGACAATGACTCATTAATTGATCACAGAATCCAATCCCAACACTCCACGTCGCCCCCCCAAAAAACATGGAACTTTATATATTCTCAACTCTTTAAAAGAGGGTGGCACCCCATCCATCAAAGACCGGGTAATAAAGGGCCATTTCGCCTTTTTTCTACTGAAAATATATAGTAGCCCCACGTGTGAGCGGACCCGGCGCAGAGGAGTCATGCTAAATTCTTGACGTCCAAGCCGAGCCGTTGACCAGCAAGATCACACCTTAACTCCGCAAATCCAATCCTGGAATTTTCAAGATCATACTCCATCCAGACATTTTGCTGTTGGTGGTGACCAATCAAGAACGATGAGATTCCCAACTCGTCAGAGTTTCCGAAAGTAAAGCACCACACTGAATCCTTCCCTCTAACTTCACCCGGGACCCGATACAACAGTCTTTGACCCGACACACTCATCTCGGCTCCCCGAAACATTAACTTGACAACCGGTAGATTTGGCAAGGTGGCCCTAGTTGAGTCAATCAAATAACAGAGATCCATTGCTCCTTGAAACACGAAGTGCGGTTCGTTTAAAACTCTTAGAACCCCTGCAGTTTGTAATAGAAATTCTTTTCTCAAGGCACCATAAACCGGACCCAGTAAAAACGTAAACTGGGTACCCGAGTCGACCATGGTTTGCCCTGCTCCGGTATGGTCCGGTACAAACACCGATTTGGGCAAAGTCAAAACCTTGTTATTTACCTTTATTCCCTCAAGCTGAACAGAGTAAGCGACCCGATCAAAGTAGGGTAAAGGGGTCGACATTTGAACCAAAGGAGTGTAATCCAAGGGTTTAAGCCACGAGTATCTGGCCTCCCCGAGAAGCAAAAAACCGGTCGAGTCAAGACCCGATATGCAATACGAGAATTTTCTCAATCCCATCTGGTTCACAAATGATAATGACCCACGGTTCATGCCCATTAACCCGGTTGTCTTTGCATCTTCCTCTGTATTGGAGCTAGAGCCCGAGTCCATGCACCCGAAAACAGTAGCGGGCGGCGTCAACGATCCGAACCGGAAAGTTTCAAATGCGAGGTGGCCTTCAACGGAAGAGGCATCAGCGTAGGAGATGATGAAGTGGCAGAGCTTGGACGGGTCACAAGTAACGGGCAGGGTAAGGTCACTGGTTCGTGTCTTGCAGGTTTGTGAAGAACAAGGTATTTTAGTGTATGTTTTGGAGGCAAGAGGATTAAAAATGAATGTAAAGTTTGGTTCTTTTTTGCAACGGAGCCACGAAAGCTCACTGCCTGTGTCAAGAACCATTGTAATGTTTTGTGGGGGCGTGCCAATGGTGAGAGAGGCAGTGAGGGTAACATTGTGATGAAATAAGAGCTTGCCTGTGGTTTTTGAAGAACTATTGGAGAAGAGTCGTCTTGTTGAGATATGATGGTTGTTTTGGGTTCTTAGAGGTACTATTATTGGTGATTGATTTGAAGAGAAACATTGTTTGGATCGCAAGAAAATGAAGGAAATAAATAGCTGGACAAGAAGCCGAAGCAAAACCATGATGTTTTGTTTAATGAATTCTGTTTATCTTTGCTTGGGGCTTCAACCGCTTTCAATGGCTTATAATTTTAAACTTGAAAGATCAATGAACGAATTGATGAAGGCGAGGGAGGGAGTTGCGGTTATCCTTGTGGAGTTTCCTTTATTTGTGTTGCTTAAATACTATGCTTGGAAAAATGCATTAATTGTAAGAGAATACGTGTCGTTAGTTTTGGAGACTGGGATTTTCGTCGTGTGGACAATCACAAAACAAAAGGCCTTTTCTCGGGGACGATGTGAATGACAAATTCGAGTCCATCACAGTTGTTCATGGATACTGTCACAGGGTTCATTTATGGTCGAAAATTTCCAGCTTTTATGCTGCAGACTAGCTTCTTCTCGAATTCAGTCCTTTTTTTTTAATCTACTCGTTTGTATCTAATAATCCAGTATTTTTTTTTTTAAATATTTCTTCACACTCTCTCTTGTCACGAGAGAAACAAAATACAACTAGAGACATATTATTACATGTACCAATCTTAATTTTTATTAATCTCAACAATAACAAAAAATACATAAATTTGTATGTGCTAGATACAAAACTTACATAGTATATACAAAACTAACATATGATATATCCATGCTAACATTTCCCATACACAGTTAAGATTTTGCAACATATAAAAAGTTACAAAACATAAAACCATCATGTTTATATTTTATAAATTTAGGAGATGATTTTGTCTCATCATCTTATAATCTTACATAAATTTGTATATGCTAGATACAAAAGTTACATAGTATATAGTATTTTAAAAAGCAATCTCAATTATATTTTTATGTTCAGCACTCATGCCTCCATGATCTAAACATGGATTGTAACTCATGTAACAATCCAATGTACTGTTGTATATCTGTCATTTTATATTATCGAATCTTTTGTGTTTGTTGCATGTTTTGGATTGTTTATCATCCAAATCCAAACTCGCATTAATTCACTGTTCACATAAAGATTTCACCATTACAGCTGAATTTAACACTATTTCACGGGCTATCACTGTTTATTATGTTTTTCTAGCAATATTTTTTGTCTGGATTTTGATTCCGTTACATGCACCATTCTCGGTAGGATAAGGGTAATTTTTCAAAATGAAATTGACAAAGTTCATCTGCTAAGTTTATCCACGGCACACATGAGAATAGTTTATAAGATAATGATAGTTATTGAATCAACCATGTTGAAGTGGGGATTAATACATGTTTGGTCGGGAGATGACATATAGATCTTAGGTTAGGTGCTTAATTAATTGTTTTTAATGAAATCATAATTTAAAATTCGAATGTTACTTTTCTCCTTCCATTGTTGTCGTTAACTCGAAATTTCTTTGTGGTTTTGTTAATTTGGCACGAAAAGCAACGGTTATATGTGATAGGCAATGCATTGCGGCTTGCATTTTGGCGAATTCCACTCCCCTTTCTTTGCATTCTGATAGGTAGCAATTGCTTCATGTTGCCCCAAGTCAATTTAGATACTAAAAAATTAGTTAATCAAGGCTTGAATTTCTTGACGACGAAACAAGAACTGTCTTGCTTTAAAGTGATTGCTACATTGAAACTATATAAAAGAGTTCGGTAATTAAATCATCTCCATGAGACCCTGTACGCTAAAACAATGTCCTCTGCCTTTAAAAGATTATTTTATTGAAGTTTCCATGAAAACTTCTGGACCTTTTCTCTTGGCCGATGTCAATTGCTAGGATTTTCTACTTCATCACATATGCATGGTGTTCTGTGTGCGATTGTCACAAAACTTTTGTAGCACTATGCTGTCCTATAATTTTACTACATTGTCAATAAAACGACAACATGATATTATTACAGGCTCGACGTGAATTTTTTTCTTCTCCTTTGAGAACTGTGAGCACTTATAATTTTTGTGTTATGAGAAATCTGTTGTTTTTTAGTTCAGAGACTGTATCTCCGACTGCTTCCATGGTGCATGGAGACAGTTTTACGATGGCCAACGAGCCCTTTCAAAAAGGGTATCTCTGGAAGGTGCAGTGGGGGACAAAAAGTGGATTGTGTTATCAAAACCAGGAAGAGCCCAAGAACCGGTAGCCATCAAAGCCCTTCTGTTGGACATGAGAAGCTCTTATTTAATATTGTCTCTTGAACAATAATAGACAAGCGAAATTGATTTATGTGTAAAATATTCGTGATTGTAAACCAGAATTAAACAAAGGTTTGAAATTTGAAACTTTCGGCAAAGATTCATAATTGAGACTTTGGTCTATGAGCAGGAAATAGCTTGCCAGCTCTTCCAATCAATAAATTGTAACAGGGAGAAATTTTTTAACTTTAGGTTTGTCTCGATTGCTGATTGACGGAAACAAGTCAATTATAACATATTGACAAGAGTTTTGATTTCTTATTGTAATCTCACATCTCAAGAATGTTGTGATGTAACTAAAAAAATATTGTTTTTTTTTATTATTATTGTATTTAACAATCATTCCATATTGCATATTATGAAGTTAAAATATTGAATTAATTATATGCTGAGGTAAAATAAAGCAAGGATCAAAATTCTAAAATACAAGGGACACGCGGGATGAAACTCAAATTACTCCATTGATTCATCTGCATAAGATCTCTAGCCCATAAAAGAAATATATTTTCAAATGTCCACTAGATAAAATGAATTGTCATTACTTTTAAAAAATATAATGTAATTAACAATTACAGTTATAATGAATTATAATATTAATTACAACCTTTAGATACAATAAAATATTCATGTAATAAATCATGATGAAAAGTAATCATGGTCAAATCTTATTGCAAAAGAAACTTCAAGAAATAAATTATTTTTTTTAAGATAACTTAAAGATATATAAAAAAAACACTTTCAAATAAACACTAATTAATTTATTAAAAACTTATTCATTATTAAAAAATCATTTCAATTTAAAACTTGAATTATTAAATGAGATTTGAATATATAATTTATATTATTTTTAATATATCTCTTCAATTGAAATATGCAAGTATATGATTTATATTATTTTTAAAATATCACCTCAAATAAAATTCCTTTAAGATTAAAACTTGCATCAATATATAACTTATATTATTTTTTAACATTTTTTTCAAATAAAATTTTTTAAATTTAAAATTTATATGTACTCATTTTTTTTTATGTTTTTAATTAATTTTAACTATAAAAAAAACTGAAAATGTTGAAATTTAAATTCATCCTAATTAAATAACTAAATTTTAATATTATATTAAAAAATTACAATTTAATAACTTAAACTATATATTAAAAAAACAAAAATATAAAATATAATTTATCTTATAATCCATTGGCGGCCACCAAAATTCTTTGTGCTTCTGCTTCATCGAGCATTAGCTTTCTATCGTGAGACAAGCCAAGTCACAACTGTGCTAAAGAATCACGAATCTAGCAGCTAGCTAGCTCGTGATGACACCTCAAGTAACCAGACGAACCTCTCGCTATCAATCGCAAATCGAATAGTTATTGCATCGTTGGCTTTTACACAATTGAGCAACACATTTTCTAGAATAAAGACAGAATACTTTGACGGTAAAGCGCCCATATTTACACTTCTCTGGAAAATTGCGGGGGTTACAATGTTCATCTTATGTCCACTAGTGAGTTGAAAATATGCGTATCCTTCCAATCCATTGTTTGGTCACCGACTCACTTTCCAAAACATTTTCAATTACTGTTCGATAGCTGGATTGATATGGAGACCGGCAAGACACTCAATGCCAAGAGAACAGCTCCGGTTCATCTCATCTTGAACTATTGAGTTGAAAACATTAAACAACAACTTCGATGTTTTTCCTTATCATTTAGCTGAGTAGATTTACGAACTAAGAATCTCCTTGACGCGATACTCGGTGTAGAACTCTAATCTCATGCTAGAACACGGAGTGAAGTTTTATGAAATTCCAATTTTGGAGTGGATAGCCGATCATTAATAGAGATTAAAAACAAAACTTGAACTTTGCTACAATTGGCTTTCGGGTTGCAAGTTACATCTTTTAGACAATTAGACCTCCGAGGTATTTGCGTTTCAGTTCGGTATATGCTGGTCGATAGTCTAATATCCTTCTTTTATTGCCTCTAAACATGAAGATACCTAACAAAACTGGGACTACTTGTCTCGCTGAAGTTTATTTACACAAACTGTTCTTAAACAAATTAATGGCTAATGGAGAAGTCAAATCGAAGGAAACAAAAGAATTTGGTGCGCTTTCATCATCAAAAGTCATGACCTAGGAAGAAGGTCAGTTGTTGATGAATGCAAAGTGTGTTGTGAACTTTATTCTTGGGAAACCTAACGCGTTTTTAAATCTAGAAACAAGACCCCACTTCATTAGATTTGTGGATGCTGATTCCAGTAAGGTTTGATTGTTTCTGGGGGAGGCATGCTTATTTCTCCATAGTACAGTAATACATACGAATGCCATGCATGATTGCTCTAATCTTACAAAGACCAATACAGATCTTTCCCAGCTACTTGATACTATGCTGATTGTTGACCTTCGTGAGGCATATATATGGCGGTCCATCTTTCATTTCAGTTTCTGTATTTCAATTCTTGTTCTTGGAACATATACAAAAATCTTGTCACGACGGTAGTGAAAGTTCACTTTTTTATTGCTGGAAGTCTTCTTGTCCCTTTTCATGCTCGATATTTAAAAGGAAAATAAAATTGAAACTAAAATAACACTGCGACTTTTTGTATATCTATGCAAGTAATTGTATATAATAATTTTTTGCTTGCAATATGCTAGCTGTCATATGGCTTGCCTGATCTAAAAACGTTACACATTCCTCTCAGTTTTTTTTTTTTTTGATGAGCCACCAGTTCAGCTTGATTTGATTCCTCTTGACGGATTAGCGTCTCAGGATCGCGCGTAGAACATGCATTGGAGTGATAATGGGCTCGTATAAGCAGAGGTGGAGCTGCAAGGACATGGGAGCCTCCACCTTGAATTACAATCCTTATACTTGTATAGAGTATTCACTTATACCCTGAACTAACCCTTCTAAGAAATTTTTTGATTTTTTTTTTTATCATTTTCGAGCTTGAAAGAGTAATTTAAAGATTTTTTACAAAACTTGTTATTAAGGTCCGTTTGTTTTGCATATAATATTTTATAGATTTTCCCGTGTTTGTTTTTAAAAAATAATTTCATATGTTTATTTTTCATAAAATATTTAACACAAAAATTGGTCAATAAAAAAAATATTATTGTTATTTTTCAAACTTAGTTCTGCTGAA